CATACCTCCTAGAGGGGAAGTTAATGCTGCCGATGCATTTGATATTGGTTCATTTGATGAAGAAGATACAAAAGGCATCAAAGTAAATTTCATTTTTCTTATTCTTATAAGTGAGGAGTTGTATGTATGGGTTATAACTGATTTTTGATATTTATTAATGATAGTTAACTGATGCTGATCAAGAACTATATAAGAACTTTTCTATAACCATATCTGAAAGATGGCAAAATGAAGTTGCTGAAACAGTATTTGAAACAGTAAATTCTGAGGCTGATAAAGCTGATCAAAAAAGAAAGTCTAGGCAAAAAAAATTCAATGAACACAATGAAGAAGGTATGTTTGTAAAAAGATAAAACAGATATGTAACAAAATCTGATTCATACAATATTCATTTGATTTCTTTAGAATCCGACTGCATTCTTCACGGATATATTAAAAAATTAGGTGGACCATTCGCATCTGCATGGCAAACAAGGTATGCTAAACTGTACCCTAATCGGCTGGAGTTGCATTCAGATTCAGGTTCAGTAAAAACTGAAGTTATCACATTAGACCAAGTATTAGAAGTCAGTCCTGAGTTAGTAATTGTTAAAAATGAGCAATGCATTGTATTACGTATGAAAGATGGAAAAGATGGCAAACTAGTTCTCACCAATAGCGTAAGTCTTAGTTAATTTTATTAAGAATTACTATTTTATAATGATAACATTTGTGTCATGTATCGAATGTGCCCACAAAGTTTGTATACATGTTATTGTTAATTTCAATTTTCAATTATAGGATGAAATTGGTTTAAAAGAGTGGGCATTGTCATTACGCTCAACGCATAAATCCACACATGATCTGTTAAAAAAATTGAAAAAACCAGGAAAAATGTTTATTCAAGAAGAAGCTGATCCTCTAACATCTACCACTAACACCAACGGAAATTAGTTACATAATAAGGTATTAGGTTAAACAAATCTCTGATGAATCTCAATGCTTCTCTTTGAATTATTTAAATGTTCTGCTTCATCCCTAACCTTCCTCAGTTCCCAGTTTTTGTCGACTATTTGCCCGGATTTTATTTGCTAAGGTTAGTGTAATGCTACTTTATAAGACTGTGGTGTTTCATTATTTCTTATTGTTGTATTGAGAATGGATAGTATAGATCAATGTAATAAAATACTATTTTTATACATTTTATAATTTTTTAGTACAATTTTTTCTAATACATACATTTTTGTGCATAATGAAGACCATACTTAAAAAAAAGAAGTTCATGACATATTAAAGTATTTCTGATATTTGGTGCCATAAAATCTATAATTTAAATTTACAATCATGTATTGTATTTTCTATTGTACATACATATTTTTTAATTTTTCTTTATTCGTGCCAGTAAATCAATTGAGTCAAGTATTGTGAATCCGTTACAATTTGTTAATGACTATTTCCAGGTATCAATTTAAAATTACATTTTCTACATTTAAAACAAACAAAACAAAAATTTGCATGCAATATCTTAAGTATGTGTAAGATAATATTATATTTTACTGTTTGAATTTTTTATTTTAAGTTATTGTCGTTCATGCAATAAATGATATATCTTGTTACTTTTTCAAAAATACTCTAAAAATTCTAAAATGTTTTAAAATTTAGTTTTTTAGAAAAATAACAAAAACTATGGTAATTCATTAGTTATATTATTATATAGATTTCATCATTTTTTTTATTAATTATTGAATAATGAAGAAGAAATAAAGACGATTCTTTGATATTGAGAGAGAGAAGAAGTTATGTGTTAAATATGATTATCGAACATTGGTATATTTTGTAGCTTGAATTGAATGGAAATCATATTATATGTTGTAAATTGACAACCTTGCAGAACTTTTCAGTTGTAAATATTGTCCGTTTAGTCTTAACTTCACTTAACCAATTCAAACTAAATTTCTAAAGTAGATAAATGATACTCAATTTTTTATGAATAACATTCTTTTTCAATTTGCAATTAAATATGTAAGTTCTTTTAACTATGTATTTCAATTTATTTATCAGTATCTTCAAATGCATTTTGACTGAATCAACATCACGTCTAGTCGGTAAATAATGTATATTAATCCAATTGAGGTTTCTTTACTAACATGTACCATTACAAATTGGGAATACATCATAGTGTTTTGATATTAAGTATCCGCTTTATGGCTCTCTATTGAAGTCATCCAATTGTATTTATAACAAGACTGATAATTTCGATGTGTTAAAACAAAAAAATCATATAATTTTCATCAATATTTTGATCACTGTCAACTCTTAGGACTTAATATTTCACTTTATTTGCACCTCATTAATGATATATAATATGAATAGAATGAAATATTTTACTTCAAAATAAGCCTTATCATTGTTAAAATATGACTTAAATTTCTTATGCCAACTAACTTATAATTTTTTTTTTTAATGTCGACAATCAAAAAATATATATATCTATTACAATATTGTGGCCAACAAAATTTGTAAATACATTTTAATTTTAAAATTCCTGCATCATATGTTATTAAAACTTGTAAATATTATATTATATATCCTAGTCTAGAGGAGTAGGTAATTAGTAATTACCAATTTAAATAATTATAATTAAATATTGAATAAACATAATATTATATAGGCCTAACTAGGTTTAATGTGAAAGAATAAATTGCTTTTAAATTACTATTTTGTCCACTATATTTTATATTATTACTATTGTTTTTGTTTTTTGTTTTTTTTTTTTTTTTATTCACATCTAGACAGTGTACACCGTTTGTCATCACCTCAAATTAAATCAATAATAATCTCAATATAATATTTAAATTTTAATGACCATTAGCGAGAAGGGAATGATATATTTAAACATAACATACGGTTTAATTGTTAATATTTAAATCTTCTACCAACTTATTGTTCTTTTTATTGTTATTTTATTTAAATAAATAAATAAAAAGTATTATTTTTATTGTTAATTCATTTAAATTTTTTATATCTTTTGTTACTTTATTTATTTATTTTATTGTATTATTATTTATATTTATTTATTTTTATTTTGTTATGATGTATATTATATATTAATTTAACCTAGTCTTTAAAACTGTGAACATTACAACTTTTGTTTTAATTAGTATTGCAATCCCATTGTAATAAATTACACAATTAACATCGTGTATACACATTTCAATTTAATGAATATTGTAATATTTAGATTCGATATATATCTAATATTATGTTACATATGATTTAATTAGGCGTGATTGCTTTTATATCAGGTTATTAAGATTGTATGAAAATATAGATTAGAATTTTAAAAAATATATATATGACTCGATTATCCAGTTATGTATGATTATTGTTTAGTTAAAATAAAATTTAAAAAAAAATGTATCAAAGTGTAATGCAATAAATCCCATTAAATGTACACACGTAAAATGTATTTCAGGGAATTTTTATCAACGTAAACCTTTGCTCCTCTGCTATATTTGTCTATTGTTTGTCTTATCCAAGTGATGTATTTTATTCGATAGCCACTTGGAGTTGTTCCAAATATTTGCTCGTTTTTGGAAATGTTCTAAACTTTCGCAGGTATTTCCAAAATCTTAACGTCTTTGGAACTACTCCAATAACTAACATATTTATAGATGTATTGTTTGAAACTTAAGTAAAAATGCCATAATGCTATCAAAATGTATTGAACATTGCTAGCAGAATCCTCTTGCCAGTATTTTAATATACAACTTGGTAACTAATAAAAAAAAATACCTCTTGTCTACTGAGGTTTTTTTTTAAATCTTCGTCCTGGAATGGAAAATAATATCTTTTAACAAATCTTATATTATATACTCTATACCTTTTTTTAGTTAAACATGATGTAAGAAGCCTGTAGAAATGTACTAAATTTGATTATATTTTTACTAAAGTTAAATAAAGAATTATTCACCAAACATGCTCACCCCCATTTTTTGCTTAAATAAGGAATTTTTGGAATTTTTAAATTCTTGATTTTTGTGTATCTTGTGAGTTGTGGCATTACAAACTTCTGTTTCAAATGAAAACCCTCTTTTTACTGCAAATTATTAAGTGGTTAACATTTTAAAGAGTAGTTCCTACCTTAGTCATTAAGATGTTTGTACCTATACTAAGGATAATAATTCTTAAAAATGGTTTTATGAAACTATAAAATATACGTCAAATTAGATCTAGTATTTATTGTACTTGGGGGTAGTTAGGCCACTTTTAAAAGTTATAAGCATTAATGACAAACATTTTAAAAACGCCACTCGCCCATTTTCAGACATTTTATCCTTAGAACACAAAGTTAAATAACTAATAAACTACTCGTATTGATTCTGATAAGTCTAATACATAATTTACAATTGAAAAGTGATGTTTCCATTTGAAAAATAGAAATTTGCAGCTCCACAGGATACTCCCTTCTTAAGTAGTATTAAAGATATCAAGAATTTAATAGTTCTAAAATAACAAAAATTAGATTTTTAATAACTGTATTATTGAAGAAAAAAGGGTGAGCTTACTTGGTGAAACACCCATGGTAGGTATATCAAATGGAATTTATAAAAATTAACTTTAAATTTTTAAGATTACAACTTTATTAAATAGAAATTAAACAAAGTTCTAGCAATGACAATTGCCATTATATGAATATACTGTTCCAGGACTTTTGGAACATTATGGGTAATGATTTTTAAGTTGTTACCATTGTTCCTAAACCTAATCTATCTCCCGAGCAGTCGTTCATGTTTGAAAGTTGATACAATATTGATTTATAAATACATCAATAAAACACTAGCCGACACTAGTGTCCGCTTGGTTTCATTGTAATGAAATTCACATGTTCTCTTATAACATTTGTAATAGACATGTATAAAATATAATATTTACTATCTAAAACACGATCATAAATGTGGTGTAGATAAAAAGAAAAATTATTAAAAACATTAATCTAATCACCAAGATGGAACACAAAATATGCTATTTTATTAGTTTATTAATTTTTATCTTTTGTACATTTTTAATATTACTAATTCTATTAAATCTAATTAAACAGAAAAAACTGCTTCAATTGGTGATTTATTAAAAAAAAGTCTATCACAGAATGTTTCAATTTTTTATGTTTTAAGTTACGCAAATTATACTTAAGAGATTTGAATCTGTATGAATTAAAATAGAACTGTATAAGTATTGATTAAATACACTTTATATTTAGTCAATGTTACAAGGTATATCAATTGAATATTATCAAGAAATGAATATACATTTTTAGCAAAATAGACATGAAATATATTGGAACTTACAGTAAAATTTCATGCAATTTAGAAATAAATTAATCAATACTTATACAAATCAAAAATGTGAAATATACACATAGGTTAAGTTGACTTAATGTAATAAGGCCAAATACAATAAAGCGGGTAAAATGTACAACAAATGTTTTAATCCAATTTTACTTATATTAAGATATAAACTAAAACAAAATTCCTATTACAAAAAGTAAATAAATATAAAATAATGGTCTATTATTGAATGAAAAATTAAGATAGATGCTGTTGATAAAAAAAAAAAGTACATACATTTGTAGATAAAAATTAACTACTTCTCCTCACACCATTCATTCTCTTTACGAACTTGATCCTCCTCTGCAGCCGTAAAATCATTTTTGATGTTGAAGGTTTTCCTTATTTCCTCTGGTGTCTTACCCTTAATCATATTGGCGACTGTCTTGCAAGTGACATCTAACAAGCCTTTGATATCTAAATAGTTGGCGGCCAGTATAAGTTCAAACAGTGTACCCTGATCCACCTTCAAGAAATCAGCATCCCAACTGGATATATCATCGGTACGCTTTTCACGTCCTTCGTCGTCTTCGGCTGGTGGTGGGTCGTCCTTGTGGTAGGTTGCCCACTGAATGACTTTCTTCAATATACCAGCATTCACATTAGGCAACGGGACGATCTCCTCGTCTTCCTCTTCCAGGCCCAAGTCTTCCACCATAGTTTTGATGGTCACCGAAGCTTTGGCGATCTCAAAGTCGACTTGAAACACTTCTCCATCTGAACTCTGCAGCTTTATCATAGGCATCTTGTATTGACGTGATGCGTTAACCAGCGGGTGAAAATACAGTCGAGAAAAACGAAAATAATTAAATTATGAAAATTGACAAATTAAATATTGATATTTGATAAGGTACAAGCTAAAATTGTATTTTGAGTGATACTCGAATCAGTTGGATATAATGTATCAACTGCACTCGAGTGTAAAGTACCTCACGCTTCACGCTTGTAAGTTGTGGCTTGTGTTTTGGTAAAACGACAAACGTCAAACACTCAAATGTCACATATGGGAATGTAGACACTAGACAGTGAATACTGGATTGTGGAACAGAGGGAACAGTGATTCGGGATATGGATAAATGAAAATAAAAGTACAGTGCGTCCAACGTGATTTTACCGGAAATGTTGATGGTCTACTCTACACTCTGTTGTCGAAAACGATGAAAACCTCATACTGTCCTACTCTATAATTAACTGAAGTTCTAAAACTTGGTATTTACTAGGGCTAGGATTTTGTAGCAAATGCTTCTTTTGGGGGGAGTATGATAGAAAGATAATTCTTATATATAAATACGTTTTGAATCGTTCCGATTTTAATGAAGTAAACTTTGTTTTGCTTTTTTTTGCTTTTTTCCACAAAACCTGCTTTTTATTGCTTTTTCCCCTATTTGGTTCTTTTTTCTAAATTTTTATACATTTTTCTTGAAAATTTAACTTATTTCTATGCATATTATACTTGGACTAAATTAATATTACCAGAAATTATACAACCAGTGAAAAAACAAGTAATTAATGTAGGTATGACTGATAAAATAACGATGGTTATTATGCCAAAATAGTTTTATCTACAATTATCTATAGTTGTATTTACGACTCAAGGAAAGTGAAAATTATCTGAATTATTCCTCCGTATTTTTATAGCACGTTCCAATACTTTAGTTGACTGGTAAATATAAATCAGTGAGGTATAGTGCTCTCTATAATCGTAAAAATGCCAAAAGTTAAAAATTAAAATTACCTATATTAGCACCTATTAGTATGAGTTTTAATGAAAGTAACGTGATTAAATATATGGTCGTAAATTCCTTTTTTAATATTTAATTTTATGTGTAATTGAAATTTGTTTTTTAGAATTAAATTTGATAAATGCTTTTTTTGGCAACTTAAAATGCCTTTTTAAGGATTTTCAAGATTTATTTTATCGTTTAGATTTTAATTATAATATAAATATAAATTTATATTCTACATCTTTGAATAACTAAAGATGTTCAAGGGATACATATTTTGAGAGTATCGACTGTCGCCATCGTGCAGTGGCGCTGCAATGAAATTAAAACTTGCAGTTCAAAATTCAAAAAGATTGATTGATCCACCACTCACCCCTTCGAATGATTGTGAAACGGGCTAAACTAATTATATATCATTAATCATTATAATGTATTTGATAACAATTCTGTGTTAGATAAAATTATAGCAGAGACAATAGAAAATATACTATATTATTTTACCCATCCGGTAATCAAAATAAAAATCCTCGGAAAAAATGCCCTGACTACCTACGCGGCTACGCAATATTACTTGCGTCTTGCTAAGTCACATTGTCACAACCATGTGAAAATGTTTTAACAAATATATTTTGATAATATTTTGTTTCACATTACGATATTATGTATAATTCTGTTAAAATTAAATCCCTGAAATAAAATATAACTTTTCCTATAATATTTTGACGATAATGTAAATATAATTATTAGGAAGCATTTTTACTAGTTTAACTTTATAGATGCAATATTTAATATCATAAAATAAAAAATGTAAACAATCCTTAAACAATAGTTTCAATATAAAGGCCAAGGCTATCCCTGAGCCTCCCAAAATTTCGTCGAACCCCCTCCAAAAGTCCAATCGTTATTGTGAAGGAGCGAAGCCACCCACGATTTTGGTTTTTTCCAAGAATAATTGCCAATGGGTTTCCGCCTATGAATGTACCCAACATACGTACTTACACTTAAAAATAAAGCATATACATTATACAAATATTTTGCTTTTCAAATAATCGATACCTACGTCGAATAATACGAATAATATTTTGTTATTTGGTGCAACTTCAAAAAAAATAACTTTACCAAAGTTACATGAAATTTTCACCGAATATTAGCATTTTTTATACACAACACAAATTTCCAAAATATTTTGAACTTTTATCGGCATATCAAAATTTCGATTTGTATTGGTATTTTTTAAAAATTATTGACCATACAATTTTCTACGCTCTTCAAAAATTTTAAATTATTTTGTGTTGGACATTTTCTAGGTTAGTTAGAAACTTTTTCTAAAATGTTTCGACTTTTTTTGGGTTATTTATAAACATTTTCAATTATTTTTAGTTTTTTCTATATAGATACGTCAATAAAATTTATAGTTGAGTCTGCAAAAAGCTTGAAAATGTCAAACGTTGTTATAATATCAATTTAAAAATATTGAAAATATACGTGCGCACATTTTTTTTATAAGCATTTAAAGTTTAAATATTGACCACTTATCTACTTTTTTTATATAGTATTAGTGCGAGGAGCACTGCACTACCCTAACCCTAAGGTTTACCTTAAAAAATAATGAATATATATCCGTCCCTCCCAATAAAAATTCCTGTCCATGACACTGAATGAATATAAAGTTACTCGCAGTTATTATCATTAGATTGCTGAACTTCTCCTAATATTGTGGTTTTTTCAATAAAAAAATCAGGAAAATGTTAGAGGAAATGTAGGTAATAATATATTTCAAAGATTACATTTTTAAAAAATTATACAAATTATCGTCGTATAAAATCAAATTCTATTGTTTATGTTTGAAAATTATTTAATATATTTAAGGCATATTATTTGTTTACTTTATAAATATATATTATTGTTAATGTTAAGTGTATGCCTAGGTACTGCCTTTTGGCTATTGCTTATTACCATTGAATGTATAAAAGAATCTTAAAATAAAATTTCAAATTCAAATTTTGGATTCAGAAACTTTATAAATCCTAAAATGCTTTAAAAATTAAGTCGACATTTAAATTGTCAAATATGTAAATTAAAAACTTTTCAATATTCCAATAAAAAATCGCATGAAAGGTGTATGTTTTAAACGAGCATCGTGCGTAGTTAGATTCAGAAAACAATATTATTCAAAGTGCATCAAAATCCAAGAATTTATAATAATGCATTTTTACTAACTTAGGAACTCTTAAATAGTTGAATTTTATCAGTTGGCATAAAATTGAATCCCGAAGACATAAGTATAACATATTATATAGGTACGGTACTATAGACATGTTAGTAAAATAAAACAAAACGAAAGATAGACTTTCTTCATTTTATGAATATTTTATGTAATTAAATTTCATTGTTTTTATTATCGCCTTTGAAAACCATTATTAATCCATTAACCCATATAATTTATAAATTTATAATAATAAATAAAAACAAATCTACAATATTATGATATAATAATAATATGATCTATGCAATTTAAGGAAGGACGATTTGGCAATTTGGGTAGCATATCTAAAATGATGATAAAATTAATGATTATTAAAACTTATTTCCCACCCCAGAACCAATTTCTAATATTAACTTCTATGACTGATTCAGGCAGTTATTTCCATAGGCAAAGGAAAAACGATATAAAGGCCCTTTTAATATAATTTTATTTAATATTTAAAAATAGAATACCACTAAAATATTTTTTTTATTATAACATATATTATAAATAATGTATAATTATGTAAGTAGCTTCGAAAAAATCAAGGAAAATGTTAAATTAAAACAAAAAATTCAACCAACAAATTATTTTTGTTTACAAAAATACACAGAAAATAATTAAGAAATCCAAAGCCCAGACGTCAGACTATATAATACCACAATAATACCAAATATTTATATATGTATTTATACATTGAGTATAGATATCCCTTATCAGTTATTCTTGACTTCAGTACTCAGTCTAACGTATAGAACTATAGACTATACAGTTATACCTACTACCTAGTTGTCTATAAGGTTCAGTACTTCAGTCTGAATTCAACAAGTCATTGAGCAAAATAAAAGTTATGCTGTCATAGTAAATTTAGTTAGAAAAAAAATTGTAGTTACTTCTTAATTATTTTATAATTGTATATATATTGTATTATTGTCCACAAAATTATGTGTTTAACTAATAAAAAGTTTAAAATTTAAATTCCTCAATTAATACTTGATATTTTTTTTCTACCAACTAGGGTTTAATTAATTAATTTGATGTAATCAGTAATATTAAGATACAAGATGTATACTATATCCGTTTAGTTTTTAATTAATTTTCCTTGAATTGGAAATGTCTACTTCAGATATTGGTAAATATACCTATTGTATACTTTTTTTAAACATAATATAGGTAGTCAATTTTTATTCTTGTATTTTCTTATTATGTACAATGACTATACTACATAATCTGTTGAATGATAAAGTATATTTGATTAATTTGAAATTGTTTTAATGTCAAAGTATCTTTAGATGACAACAGTATTGTGATAAATGATTTACCGAATGATACAGAAGCAGCCATAAGGTATATTAAAACTTTATTACCGGTAACTCAAAAGGATACATTTAAATATCCTCCGGTTGTATTTATTCACCAACTATATGATATAATACACAATAAGACATTGATTAATAAAGAGCTGGTTGGTATATATATTTTACATTCTTTGTTCATTATAAGAATTTATAATTTCAATTTTATCCATAGGAGATATTAAGAAAGCAGTGCAAGATACAAAAACTCACAATTGGAACTTCTGATTCTTCTTCAGCCTTAATTTTATATGAAGATTATGTTAAGTATACCTTAAATATTTATCCAGAAAATCGTAGTGTGAACAAATTTTTAAACATCATTTTACCTTCAATCAAATCATTTGGAGTGGAAAAATGTACATTGCTGCAAAAATTTAAATTGCAGCAATATGAATTGACGTAATTAATTTAATTAAATGTTTGTTTTGTTATCTTGATAATAAATAATTTATATTTATTTTCAGAGAATTGATCAACTGTGGACTTTTATTGATTAGAAATCAAGAAAGTTATTGGATATCTTTTCCATCATCTGGTAACTTTATTAGGCGTTACATTGAAGGTCGAAAATATATTATTCAAATAATTAGACGTAGAAAATTTCAAGAGATATTAGAAAATGTAAGTTGTTTTAAATTGTTAGTAAGGATTAGGTATAAATTACTTACTACTATTTTAGTTCCCGAGCAGCCAAGCCTTATAAACTGGCTAACAAACTGGCTGACCATATCCTTATTCCATTTTACAAATCTATTACTATTTCTTTTTAAAAAAAATTTGGTTAAAGTTTTCCTAAAGCAAATTGTACTTATCATTTTTGAAGATTCCATTCTACTTGATTCTCAATTTGAACACGTTTTACCCAATCTACAACACGGAGTAATAGATGTCATATGCCCGTCCTACTCATTGAAAAAAAATATATTGTACATGTGCCTTCCTAGATGTTTCACGAGCATTTGATAGTATGGCTTATTTTTTAAATTAAATAAATTCTTGGATCCCATATATTTTTTAATAAATAATCTTATATGTCAACTCACCATTTTCTAGTTAAAAAAAATTGGTTCTTTTGTGTATCCTCACATGACACCCCGCCATAGTGGAACTGATCTCCAATCTCAATGATAGGGTGTTGCATAAGGATTTGCAGATTTAGCTTTTCTCTCGCCGAACAGAGCATACAATTTATATCTAGTACTAACTTAATTGTGTTGAAATAAATATTTGTTGTGATTGAGTAATTAAGTCAACTCCTCAAAATAATTTAAATTGTAGTTTTTATTTAATCTAGACACATACAGTTAGTTTTTAAGGAAACAATCTTAGTTCTCACTTAATTTGCAATACAATAGTGTTTGTAAAAATGTCAGTCATTTTTTTTTATTATTTTTTTTTGCCATCACTTTAACTTGAACAGCAGTTATCATTTATTGTTTAAAAAAAGTTCCTAATCTTAACTTTGAGGATGGATTCTTGTAGAACATTGGTCCTTAGTGAGGTCAAGAATATAAAATTCCTATTACTTTCTTAACTGTTGAAAAAAAAACTAACAAAACCAGTTTGAAACAGGAATATTTACAAAATATCTGTTTGTTATCAAATTGGTAATAGGAAAATTAAATAGACCATATTTGTGTGTAAATAACTGAATATAGCATTCATTTCATATAGATAAGTGTTTTTTAATTGTTATAGTTTTTTTATGAGATTTATAAAAAATTAGTATTATTCAAAAATATTTTTAAACCCAGGATATTCTATACCACATTTCAGGATACAAGTCATAAAAGCCTGTAGGGTCCTAGTAAATCCATAACATATAGCATTCCTATTTATGATTATTCTATGTTTACTTTAGGAAATTGTTTTGGCACATCTTAAATTAATGTTAAGTTTGTTTCTTTTCTTAAATACACACCAATAATGCATTAATAAAGGTTATAATAAAAGTTATATGTTTATCATTTTAGGACCTGGAAGTTCGTTGTGCTAAGGTATCAAAGATAAAAGAACTCGGTTTTAAATACTTTTTACATGACATTAAAGGATCAGAAGATATAATTAAGTAATATAATTAATAAACAATAGATAAATAATAAGTATTTTATTAATGATCATACATTTAATATTTAGAATGAATACAACATCAGGATGTCTCTTAAGAATTGCTTGAACAACAATTTGTCTTACTTTCAGAATGGAATCATTTTACTTTCAATTATTTTTAGGTATTGTATAGAAAAATAAAAAATAAATGTTTTTATAAAATAATACAAACTGAAACAGATTATTTGATAATTTGTTTAAAACTTCAATATTAAATTACATATCAACATTTATTTAATCCGACTCTATCTCTTGGTATAAGCCTCAGTTCTGCTCCATGTTTTAGAAAAACAACTCCTGCAGTCTGTTGTGGATTAATACCAATCCCATCATCTGTAATTATGGCTGATGTTTCGGGTGATACCTTGAACTCTTCAGCTGCAAATTTTAAAACTGCAGTGAATGGCGCCGCTTCTGGTACCTTAAATATTTTAAATGGTAGTTTTGGATCTGACGTTAGTGTTATTTTGAATCCTACTGTTTGAACAGAATCTCCCATTTTACACAGTTTGTATAGCACTGTTTCAGAAAATACTTATACACAAGTTAAAAAATGTACAACTAACAATATTTGATTGATATTTACAGCCAGCCAAGTATATTAATTAATAGGCATTTAAGTTGTATGCTTGTTAGTGCCTTTCACTATTTCTATTTTCTCGACTATCATAAAATTAATATCTTATCACCGCTGATGTGGTGTTCAGGGTTTCTCAGAATGTATTATCATACATAACTACGTGTTTGTTTCTGAGTTCATACATATTATTTATGTTGACTTTAACACTTGGCAGTTTTTTAAATTCTATTCAACAATATTTTAGGCAATATGTATATGCGAATAATAAAATGTATCCAATTGGCAATTACATGTTGTACATTCTACTTCTGTTAAAAGATTAAAAATTAATATAATATGGAACATAACAATTTTAAAAGTATAATTGAAGTAAAATGAAATAGTTTAGAATGTAAAATTTAATAACAATAATATTGTTTGGTTTTAAAATTTGCGAATTTTCTTACTAGTTACTATGACTTACCCATTTAAAACAGAGGAATGAGAAATACATTTTGAAAATGAGAGCTCATGTAATGACGTTGGCTAACAGCATTATTGGTGTTAGCATACTAGCTATGCCATTTTGTTATAAAGAGGTAAACATGATATTGTATTATAATTTAAAAATATATAACTATTATTAACATTAGTTACCTTTATGTCTTTTCATATATAGTGTGGAATAGTACTTTCAACATTATTATTGGTGTTAAGTAATTTTATGTCAAGAGCCTCTTGTCATTTTCTATTAAAGTCTGCTATTAAATCGAGGACACGAGATTTTGAATTTCTAGGTAAGCAACAATGTTTATTTTTAAAAAATTTGGTACTAATAGTTGGTTGATATTATTCATTTCAGCATTCCATTTATTTGGAAAATTGGGGAAAGTCACTGTTGAGTTGAGCATAATAATGTTTCTAATGGGAACTTGTATTGCATTCTTTGTTGTTATGGGTGATTTAGGACCACAGATTATTGGTGACACGTTTAACATAAAAAATACTACAGCTCTTCGTCCAAGCATTATGATTGGTAAGACATTTTAAGATATTAAAAATTATATTTTTTGGGATTAATCATTATTTTTACAAATATAAACTATATATTCATATGACTATGTTAAGAATATTGAACTGCTCTTAGGTTTAATTAATATTATGCAATTGCTTCTTTTTATTTTAATACAAATTATTTACAGGTTTAGCTGCATTTGTAGTGTTGCCGTTGGGGTTATTACGTGACGTCAATAGTTTAAATACAATTTGTACAGCAGCAATAATATTTTATGCTTGTTTAGTATTTAAGGTATGTTTTTAGATTTAATAAATATTTTCCAATATTAATTAAATTGTTGATAATATGGTATGTATTTTCAGATTTTCATTGAAGCTTTTGACAAACTTTTCTCTTCTGTTTGGGTTTCAGAAATATACTTTTGGAAACCAGTTGGTCTTTTCCAATGTTTACCAATATTTTCAATGTCTCTATTTTGTCAAACGTAAGAATTACAAATTATTTGTAGTTATCTTAGTTCATAATTAGAGCTAGGATTTTAATGACCTAAAAAATACTCAAAAGTGCACTAAAATAAATGCAAAAATGACCTAAAAATACTAAAATGTGAACTTTAAAAAATGTACTTAGATAAGTGAAAAAATTTAATTTTATAATAAATATTATTATTAATAATATATTACACCAAAAAGGTAAAAATTTGTTTTAAGAAGTAAATTAAACAAATATAATATTCAAATTTGAGTTGACTTGTGAGTTTAATTAATTATATTACTTTTTCGATTCATACCCACTTTGCCAAATCCCAATTCGCCGACAAATAAACCAGTTTTAAAATATTTTTATTTTTATTTTATTAATAAAGTTTCAATTCTTCCCATTCGCCAACATATGACAATAATTTTATCGAAAATGGGTATAACAGCTATAATATTATGGTATGTTGTCGATATAAGTTCAAAGGTACTATTTTTATAAGAGTATTGTAGGTACTAATTGAGATAACCTATACAACACATATAAAAAAACTTAAAATAAACAAAAATAGTTTAAATACACAGTGAATGTAATATTTATAAAAATGAGCTTGAAAATGCAAAATTAAAATTACGCATTTTAAATTTTTGTATCGTAAAACAAATTTAGTTTTTGGTTAGAACTGTATGGCACTTAAGGAAAAAAAATGCAAGTCATTAAAATCCTAGCTCTATTCATAATAATTAATATGGTTTAATTAAATTATAGTATATCCTTTTCTTAAAACTTAAAATATTATTTAATTTAGAGTTGCTTGATTACGAGCGTTATGATTTCAGAATATTTTGTATATTCATTTTAATTCTACAACAAATCAAATGTTTAAGATGCCTTATCCGATTTAACAGTTAATTTAAACATAAATATTTATAGTTATTTTTGGAATACATTTTTGACCAAACATTTAATGAATATTATCTCTTATAAAATAAAAAAATTAATTCTTTAATGAATGTATATTTTACTTATTTTTATAATTTTGAGTATGATATATCTTTAAGAAATTACTAATTATTAAAAATATTTTCATTCAGTATTTGATAATTTGTAATAGGTTAGTGTATTTGTTGATAGTTTTTTTAAATAAATTAGTAATATTAAATTAAATTATAAAATTGTATGATTAATAGACAGTTGTTCGATATATTTGAAACAATTACAAATGAATCATTGGATAAGTTAAATGCAGTAATACGATCATCAATGAATATGTGCACTAGTGTTTACATTAGTGTTGGAATTCTAGGATATATTGCACATTACGACTCAGTATTAACAGGTAAAACATTTTATTTATTCATCGTAAATAATAGTTTGTAACAAAAAATCAGAATTTTCTGACCACATACAATTATTGTTATTTTTTCTAAAAGTTTTTGACTTTCCACAAAAATTACATGACCATTTAATTGCGCCTTTAGACTTTTTTATTGTACGACATGTTACAGTTTTTCCTGGTATTAGCATAGTATCACAACCTTTACAAATATTTCTTTTAATTTCTGGATCGATTTTTAGTAAACTTTTTTGAGATAAACCTTTCATTATAGAGTTGTATGTTGATGACAAGCCAGGACATTGTTCAGCCAGAGCTGTACTTAATTGATATAAGTAATTAATCCGATTTTGGTTTATCTCCATATTGAATTCTTGTTTTTTCTTCTCAGTTTTTGTCATATTAGTACAATATTTTACAGTTATTTATAACCTAAAATATTGAATTATTCTTAATTAGTTACATATTTTTAATCTATGTGAATTAATAAATATAAATTATGAAAACGTTTCTTCAATAGTTTAATATTTTAATCAATTGTACTTACCTAACCTGTGATTTATTAATATATAATTTACTAATACTATTTAAATGTATGATTGATAATCAATTATTTAATGATGTATTATAAATTATTAACTAGTATTAAATAATATTTTGTAATATTTTTCACCTTTCCTCAATGCTCATATTTCAGTATTTCACTGATCTATTTTATTATTTTTGTTTACATCAGCAACATTTTGTTTCAAACACTATCAAATATGATTGTTGTTACTCGCAAATGGCAATAAAATTCTGTGATAAGACTGTTTTTTAAAAGGTTATCATGTAATGGTCAGTGTAGCCAACAAAAGGTTTTCAACAATTTTTAAATTATTTTTAAAAATGTATTGTAGTATAGGTACTATTTGTACTCACAATTTAAAGAATAGGTATTCATAAATATTGAATAGTAATATTTTGTTGTTGTGTATATCGTGTATATCAAATAAATATTTTATTTAAATGTTTTATTATTTACAGGAAACATTCTTACTAGTTTTTCCCAATGCCTGTCCAGTGACATAATTAAAATTGGTTTTGTTATGTCTATTGCTGTTAGTTTTCCTCTGGTCATATTTCCATGCCGTTCATCAATATACTCTCTACTTGCTACAAAAGTTAGATTACAACTTGGATAACAATATGGTTTAAAATTAATTTGAAATAAAGTATATTTAATATAATTTTAAATTTGTTTTCTTAAGGATTATGTACTCGTATCTGGAGGAAGACAACATATTGCAGAAACACCTTTCAAATGCATCACATTTTTTATAGTATTATTTTCCTTAGTTACCGGTCTATTAATGCCTAATATAGAAGTCGTATTGGGACTGATTGGATCTACCATAGGAGTTATGATAAATGTTATGTTTCCTTCTATGTTTTTAGTACGTGTGGCAAATAAATGTCCTAAAGAAAGGTTTTGGGCTAGAGTAAGTGTGTCAACTTGTATAGAAAATTATAATAAATAATATTGTGTTAAACTAATATTAACTATATACTAATTTTTTTTCAGTTCATATTTTTTGTGGGTATTTTCATTATGGTAATGGGAACTTCCGCTAATCTTTACGCTATACATCAAACATTCTCAAATACGGTGAAAACAGTTCATAGAGGTAAAGTAGGAGTGAAGACAATATTTTTACTGATTTAATAGATAACATTTAAAAAATGTATTTATCTTAAAATGTTTCTACTAACCACCTAACTGGTTGTACTAATAAAATGTAACCAGTAGTAATTATTAACTATCAATTGAATTTTGTATGATAAATTATTATACCATGAACATCACATAGTTTCTCCATCTTATTTTCATAGTATTTTAACTGTACTCTAGTAACTGAGATAGATCATTTTAGTCTTATTATGATACTGTTATTGGTTTAGCATATTATTATAACATATTTATGATTTATGTTTATGGGCTTGATGCATGTTTTTTTTGTCATGGTTATTTATTAATAGGGGTGTGGAAATACTTGATATTGGCTTATATTAGTGGTTTCGAGTTTTTTTAAATCAATGCCAAATTAAAAAACCAATGAATCAGAATAATAATATCACAATATCATAGATTTATTAATAAGGCTGGTGGCAGTACTAAAACTGATATCCACACATCCCTACTTATTAACTAAAACATATTTATTTTCATTGAAGAGAAAAATATAAAGTAGCGTTTTATGGTTTAATTCTAAAATATAGATTTGTATTAAATTATTTTTATAATAGTATATACCATGGCATACATTTTTATTTTTTAATAATATTTCTATTAACATCAAATTTTTTTTTATTTTAATATGCAAAAAACTGTGTTATAGAAGCTGAATCATTGGTTGTTAAACCTATGGATACACATCATGACATAAGTCCTAAATTGAAAACATCCGAAGAGATAAGAGTTGAACCTCCTGTACCTGTGGAACCTATTATAAAAGCAAATTCTGAAGTAAAACAAGAAAAATCAGTTAAAGTAGATAATGGAAATACTATTAGTAAAGATGCAATTAACAAAGAAGATGAGGAGTTGGAAAAAAGACCTGAAATAGAATTACTAGAAAAGTTAAAAAGTCACGAAAAAGAAGAGAAAAAAATATTAGCTGAATCCAAACAAATTTTAGAAGAATTAAAAGGCGCTCGTCAAACACAGTTTGAAAAAAATAAAAGAAAACTTGTTAACAATGTAAAGGACTTAAAGAGCGATATGAAAAAACAAGAAATTAAAAAAAATTATATATCTTTGGATGAAAAAAAAAACAAATTAGTTAAAGATAAGTTGCCTTTACCGTTAGTGTTGAAAGAAGCCAACAGACCCAATAAAACCAAAATGGAAACAAATAGAGATAAACGAGATTTGACGTCAACAGTGCATAGCAATACTGACGAGAATGAAGAAAATTGTAATAAAAAAGAAAAATCTGAAAATGAAGATGTCCCAAAAGTTAAAAATGTTGATAACATAGATAATATTGAAAATATAAGTATATCAAATTGAATATTAAACCTTGTAAACATACCCACTTCTTCTTCCCACCATTCCCATCACCATGGTTGATCTCTATACTTTGCAATACTTTATATATAACTATTATAATATAAATCTAATATGTACTTACCACAATTATTAAAGCTGCAATATTTTTTTAACCTTTTTGTGGACAAATTTGTATTATTTTTAATATTTACTATTAAGTATTTACAACATTGTTATGTGTATTAAATTAAAAGTTCCTATATGGTTAACAGTAATTACTAATTACAATTTGTATTTATTATTTTCATGTTACTAAAGTTATATATATTCACGGGGTACTCTCTATGAAATGGAAAACAAAATATTTGTTCGGCTATTCAAATGTAATTACTGTTTAATATATGCTTCTACGTGAAATTTGAATGTATAACCTATTATAATTATGTATAATAAAAACTTCATAAAAATCTGTACGATTAAATTATAATTGAATTTCTTGTGTTACCATAACATACCTATGTGCCTTATCAGTCCATGAGCATTTTAGTTTATTTTGTTTATTAATTGTCTATTTTCTGTTTTAATATGATACATTTATTAATATTTTAAATAATAAATATACTGTATAATAGTTATTAATTATGTATTAGATTCCTTTATGTTCTGCATCACCTAGATATTCCTCATCTTTTAAAATGAAAATAGTTTAAGAATTATTATCATAAATATTTAAATTTTACTTCTTTTGGTTGGATAAATACATGTTTCTCTTTAATTGTTTCCATATTTCAGGTTCTAAAATATGACAACTTTGTATCCACTTCATCCCTAATCTTTCGCTTTTTTTCAATTTCGAATAAATTCTAAATTTTTCCTGGCCTAATGATTTTGCTCCATATATCACTTTTTTCATCTTAATCATAAAAAGACAAAAACCAACCAAAATAGTTGACCATAATTTTTTAGATTCTACCATTTTTACTCAATTCTGAAAATGTTTGAAATTGTATTTCGATTATCCAATATTCCGATACCTATCCCTTTTGTTCCACCATCTTTTATTTAATAATTATCGAAAAATTAAGGTTGTGTAAATATTAAGAGTGTAGTTGTAAAACAAAATGCATCTGTAACGAGATTTACTGTGGGGACTTAAAACTTTTTTTCATAGGTAACTCGTATACCTAGTATTTCTTAGCTATACACTAGCTATATATTAGTTATTGCTTACATTGTCATATCTATCATATTTGATAATTTAATAAAAGATAATTTTTGAAGATCACTCATAACCACAGACTAAGATATACATCTTAGTCCGTGCTCATAACAAACTTGTGAAATCATAATCGTTAACCTTTGTTCATTAATTATTGTTTAGGTGTATAATTTTTACGAGTTACGTTGTTGTATAAATATTCCCGTTTTTCAGTAATTTATTTTTATTTTTAATCGATTGATGAATAGTTCAATAGTACGAGGAAAATTATTGTACCTATCAATTTATTTTTGATTTGAGGTTTGTCCACTATATAAAGCTGAACGACTTCCCATTTTTTTTTCAATTTGAGTTCGATGCACTAGCTAACCACTGCAATCCGCTAATAACTCACTTACCTAAACAATATAGACATGGGTATAAAGTTACACAGCCACTCAGGTAACCCATTACGGCTTTACTTAAATCCCAAATTTTATTAATATATTAATAAATATTTATATATAAATTATATTAATAAACTTCTATTTAAACTACTTACGTTGATCGCAAATATTTTATTCTAATGTAGGTATTACCAAAATAAATATTCTTATTATTTTCTCAGTTATGAGTTTTTGTCAGATTCGTAATTTGACCAATTAAATTTGTATTATGACCAATACTGCTAGTATTTAGTTTTTCTGTTATGCAAAAATGTAATGATTTTTTTATATTCATCGAATTTCCTCATCGAGTCATTCACGTCATTTTTAATCTATTTTTAAATGTGTCCTACATCCGTTTGGTGACTTTATCGTGTTTCTATACTTATAGACATATATGTTATTTTTCACCATTTTCATCGTTTTGTTTCATAAATAATTACAAAATAGATTTTTAATTCACAAAATTACCTATATATTTTCAGTATTTTTGTACCTTCAAAGACCAGAGTTCAGACCTAAATTTCAATATTGAGACGTCAGTGCCATACTATGGTATAACCTAACCTAACCTAACCTAACCTTCGTGCTTATTTCACGATTTACTTTAGGAAATAAGTATTATAATATAATTGAATGAATCTTTTATGTAACTAAAAGTGTGGTGCACCTACTGGCTACAGCAGTAGGTACATAGGCCCCTACCTATACACCATATATCCATACACGATACGTCGATACACCTACCGATATTATAAAATGTGTTCTAAAAAAACTAACTTATTTAAAAGCTTAAAATACCATCACTATATTCATAACTTGTCATGAAAAATAGATTCTACCAAATTGGGAAATTTTAAAAATACTGTCTTAAACTTACATTAAAATATACCTCGTGTTCGACTTGTAACTATGAATTATAAAGGTTGTAGACTTAGGCGTTTTTTACTAGGTAATAGATACCTACTCAAAAATATTTTATAATATTTCAAACGCTTAAAATTACTTTTGAGCTATAGGTGTACGATGGGACTTGTACATATACATATATAATAGGTACCTACTATATTATTATTAATGTCAATTTTTTTATACGAACCCATAGGCACATCTAATTATCTTAATGCATATAATTTATACTTGTTAGTTTTGTTTTGTATTCATACGAGTATTGTGTTACCATTCCGGTTTACTATGTATAGTACCTATAGTAAAATTTCAGATAATATTTAAACACCTTAAGATACATTTATTATATTTTATTTTATACGGTTCGGCTTGACAAGTTGTCGTTAAAAACAATATTGGTCGTATTATGTTTTTAATAAGAATACAAAACATTATAACTTACAAGTGAGAAATATTAAATATATAACATTTTTTTACTTTTAAAAGTGTTTCATCTTTATCAGAATCAGATTGCTGTAAGAGATGCAGTTCTGTTTTGTTTTTTGTTTTTACAACTGGAGAAGGGGAAATAATTGTTCTTAAAATAGAGCGTCTGACATAAATATACTGCATTGTCGAACGTATTATAAAAGCTAAAAAGTGTTGAATCATTTCTCTTGAAGAAATATTAATTATATTTGACGTTCGTTTTACTTAATTTTTTTATTAATTTATTCCTATAAACAATTTAATATGTGAAATTATATGAACCATGTCACAAAGTCAATTTAAGTTTGAACGTAAATCGGGTGGTGTGTCAAGAAAATTAAAACAAGCAGGAAACGTATCTAAAATTCGAGAATTTGAATTGGAAAAGGTAAATAGTATGTACTTACGTATTGTATGCCTATAGGTATCTACTGTAGTCTGTAACATTAGCAACTTACTTATTTATATTTATTAATTGTTTGAATGTTTAATTTAAACCTTAAATTATTTGGTGGTTCTATAGAATTTTTACATCAAAACTAGGTCCTAATGTCTAATTTACCTAGGCGTACCTACCTTACTCTTTAATTTAATAATAAAAGTATTACGTAATTCTAATCCATTATTTTAATATCAGCATAATTTATTAAGCAAACTATTCGCATAGGCACTTATGCAGTGAACTAGTATTATTATAATTCGTGACACATCATATCTACCATATCACCAGCCAAAAAAATAAGAAAGAGTAGGTACCAATCTTATATTAAACTAAACAGTCTATACGTATATGCTCGGATATGGCAATACCGCATTGCCTAGGTTTATAGTAGGTACCTATATGTAGTGAGTACATTCAAATACATTACATCAATCAAAATTGGAAATTTGACAGTGTTATCCTTATCACTATATTATCTCTTTATGATACCGTCAAGCCGAGATAAACCCTCAGAGATAAACCATTTAGCCATTTAGGTAGGTACCTACTTACCCATATTTAAGTTAGTAATAAATAATAATCAAGTGCATTGTGTGTGGTAAACGCCTTTTACCCTAATATTACTTACTTGTAAGTCATAACAATATAACTTAAACTGCATTTATAAACCACCCTGCTCTCAGATTAATTATTCTAAAATAGAATCCAACATTTTAAACTTATACTTAGTTACAGCCATAATGCTATATTAAATCTATACTCTGTCCAGCGAGAGAATATGTCGCGGGACGACCAGCATCAGTTTTTCTGCGCATCCCCTCGCGACACCAGGGGGTGCTCAGAATTAGCGTGTTCTCTCGCTAAACAGAGAAAACAATATAAATATACATAACTCGTGACTTTAGAAATCAATCATAAACAATTTTATAATGTTACACAATATTATCAAAGACGGATCCAGGGGCCGGGCTAGGGGCCCAGGCCCTCCCAGACATATTATTGCCCAAATTGTTTTCATAACTCTGCAGATTTTATACCTGTATATTGTTTCCATTTTTTTACTATATAATGACAACTGAAAACTTTCAAAATTGTCGATTCAATACGATAATTAAGAAAACAATTTATCTACTCAATAATTACCATCGTACGCCTATACTATTATATATATATGCGTCATTGTGGTCATCTCGTTTTTACTATACATACAAGCTGACAAACCTATGCTCATGTTGATTAATGTAATATATTCATCGATGTAGATGAAAAAACACACTACAATTAACAAAATGATGTCTATTTTTTTTTCTAGATAGATTTGGTCGAAACGTTTGATATTGTGCAAATCGTCGGCGAAGGATGGTTCGGGAAAATATTGCTGGTCGAACACCGGGGCACGGATAATGAGATGGTGCTCAAATCACTGCCCAAAAATTACACTGCCGTTAAGGATTTCTATAGAGAATTCCATTTCAGTTATCACTTGAGCGCACACCGTAACATTGTGTCCACGTTTGACGTGGCCTTCCAGACTGCCAGTTTTTACGTGTTTGCTCAAGAGTACGCGCCGTTGGGCGACCTTACATCCAACATATCCGACACCGGAATCGGAGAGTTGCACAGTAAAAGCGTTGCGAAACAGGTAGTTATTGTAAATTGAATCGTTGGTGGCACTATTCGTATACTTACAGTCTACAGCTTAAATAATAATAATAATAACTTTATTGCAACAAAACAAAACAAAATTATACGTGTAAATTAACAGTGGAATACAATATTGCAGCACCCCGTAAAAGCATAGTTTGTAAATACATAACGATCTATAAGTATATTGTATATATAATATATATTAATATATCATGTATAATTCATATTAATGTAAAATATTTGTATGTGTTCAGTTGGTTTCTGCGATCCAGTATATCCACAGTTATGATCTAGTTCACAGAGACATCAAACTAGACAATATTTTAGTTTTTAAAAGTGATTTCTCAAGAATAAAACTATGTGATTTTGGC